TTAAAAAAAAAAAAAAGAGTAATGCTTCGGGATAGAATCAACAGTAATAACCAAGAAACACTTTCTGAAAAAAAATGTGCATAAATATGAAGCTGGTTCAAAAATTTAAGTGTAAAAATATTTTATCTCACTCCTAAGAAAAATACTAATTAAAACTACCCTGACCTAATCATTTTTCACCTATCAGAGTAGAAAAAATCTACAAGTCTGACATACTCTCATGACAAAGGTGTAAGAAAATAAGAATTCTCATATATTATTAATGGGTACAGAAATTGTTACAACCTCTAATGGAAGGACAGTTGGCAATAGCTAGCAAAATTACATCTACATTTTTACTCTGACCCATGATCTCACTTCTAGGAATTTATTCCAAAGGGCAAAATACTATTTGTAATAGCAAAAGACCAGAAGCAACCTAAATGTCTACCAATAGAATAAAGTTGAATCAACTACGGGACATGGACATGATAAAGTACTATGCAGTTAAGTATTACACAGCTGTATAATGGTACAAGGAAATCTATATGCTGCTATGGAATGAATGAAAAAGTGCAAAACAATATAACTAAAATGTTGCCTCTTATTGAAAGAAAAAAATTAACAGGTAAAACTAAGATGTTACCTTATATTTCAAGAAAAAAATTAATGTGTATGTGTTTACTTAAATTTTGAGCAAGATGAAAAAACCAGGGCACCTGGCTGGCCCAGTCGGAAGAGCATGCAACTCTTCATCTCTGTGTCATTGAGTATGAGAGCCATGTTGGGTGGAGATTACTTAATTAAACTTAAAAAAACTTTTTTTACATAAAAAACAAGTAAGTAAAATTTTACTTATTTAAATGCTTATTTGTATTTTTGAGAAAGAAAGAGAGTACAAGCAGGGGAAGGGCAGAGAGAGAGGGAGACAGAGGATCCAAAGCAGGCTCTGCGTGGACAGTAGCCAGCCCAATGTGGAGCTCGAACTCACAAACTGGGAGATCATGACCCAAGCTGAAGTCAGACATTCAACTAACTGAACCACTCAGGTGCCCCAGTAAATAAAATTTACTAGTAAGATGAAGAAGCCAAAAGCTACTAATATGAATGATTATCAGCAGATGAAGAGTGATAAGAGACCATAGGCTTGGAAGCCAGACTTTGCTGAATGTACCTCGTTTTACGGTTTTTACTTTGGAACCAGGAAAATATTACATAATTAAAAAAAAAAAAATGGGAAGTATAGAGTCAGAAAGATAGATCCTGTTTAGCCAACTTTCATGCCATCAATGTCATTCTTTCAATGCTAGAGGTACAAGGAGTCCAATGAGTCCCAACTCTCATTTTCTAAATACACATGGCCAATTATCAAGTGTCCTAAAATTCACAAATCCTACGTAAGGTATAACTTAGCTCCAAAGAGACGAATGAAATCATTCTTCCAATTTTCTACTTTTAACTCCAATAATGAAAATGTACTTGGTTTTCTTCTAGATTCTAGAAGAGATTAACTCCAGGCTGAGTTAATTGGCAGTTTAACAAAATCATTGTGTCAAGTTAACTGAGTTCACTTCTAGTTGGTCTGGAATTTCTCCTTAAGTATTAGGTGACAAAGCAGTAGAACATGTACCAGATTTGCCAAGATTTAGGAAGCTAAAGAACTATTACCTCTGAATTCTTAATTAACCTTTCAAATTAGTTTTAATAAATGTAGATAGTGTTACGGAAGTTGTAGTCTTCTGAACTAGAAGAAAACAACAGAGCTGAAGTTTTAATAATGAATAATCTTTTAAAGCCTCTACATGTCTAGCACTTATTACTTCCAATCCTTGTTATGATCCTCCCTGATGGATGGTACTATTCTATTTCTCAGAGAAAGAAGCTATGACTTTGAAAAAGGTCAAGAAACTTCCTGAAGGGCGTTTAGTGTATATCTGAGAGAAAATATATGC